CACACACACACACACACACACACACACACACACACACATACTCACATGTGCGGGCGCGTCGTATTATTTCGAACAGCGGCTGAGAAGGAAGATTTAGCCATTGAACATAATATTATTATTTGCCCTTCGCGATAGTAATCTGGTCCTAAGACAATAAACATCTTTTTAAAAATACCATCTCCCTTCTGTCCCCAAATGCTATTTTTCAGTGTTGTTATTATCTTCCTATACCCCCTACCCCTATTGCAGTCTTTTTGTTTAATTAATCGCCTCTGCCTAACAAGGAAAGTTTCCGTCCTACACCACTCGAGCACTTTCACGGGCAGTGCTGAGATTTCACACCCACACCACCCCGACCATCTGCATCACTGAGGGCTCACATACATTCTCTGACCGTCTAGGCTCACATCAAGGAGTTCAGAACTACTTTTAATCTCCTTGGCTCACATACGTGGATGGCGTAACGTCAAGAAGGTTATTTAATTTTGTTGTTAGGTAAGGTCCTTGGGTAACATTTAACCGTAATAGAGTAGACAATAGGTAACATTTCCCCAAGGACCTTACACAAAACTTTATAACTTCCTTGCATTTCCACCAAGTCGTACCCACAACACTCCTTCCTCGCCTTACGGCACGGCGTAAGTTAAAGAGCCGATGGAACCAAACTTGATAGTTTTGTTTCAAATCAGGGCTGAGTGGGTGACGCATTTTTCTTTTTCGACACTAGGTTAAAACTCCCGAAGGACAGGAATTAAAATGTATCTTTCCGTTTCCGCGTTAGGCAGGTTTCCGTTTTGTAGAAGTGATTAGGCTTATTAAATTTATAGAATTTGTGGGGAGATCCGTTATGACAGGTTTCCGTCTTACACAAGTTTTCGTTAAGTTTGGTTCGACTGTATATTTCGTTTGGATAGCATGGATAAAAAAAATATTTTTGTAATATTTTAGCTTTTGAAAATGGTCTTCCACAGTTCAAGGGCGAAAGCGGATTTGTTTGACAGGGTAATCAAAGTGAGACAAAGAAAAAGATAGAGATGACGCCGCACACGAAAAGTTTTCCCAAAATAGAACCACGATTAACACAATTTTTTATTCGAGGTGGCATCACTGAGTTGTGAATAAAAACAAATCTTGAATTCAATATTGTCTGTCCACTCTCCAAAATAATAGAGAAAATATCTCATTAAATATTTATTCCCACCGTGGGCAAAACATAATAAAACTTTAAAACGTTGTGTTGAAGTTATGGTCTCAAAAGTTTTTAGCAGTAAATATACCACTTAAGATGTGAATACTGTATTTTTATCCACATTGAAAATGTGGATGCCATAATCATGTTATGACCTGATTATAGGAGGGTTGTAAAAAGTCGAGGGAAAAAAGCACCAGGCAGCATTAATGAGATTAATCAGAAGTTAGTCCCCCTCACCTTTTGAAGTAGACTCTACCAGTTTTTAAGCTTATATAATCAGTGCTTGTGACTGCTCATGAGAGTGGTCCGAAAGGGGTGAACAGTGTTTATGTGGCAATGAAACAGTTTTGGATGTTGTGCAACACTCTTCATTGGTGATTATGAACGTCTATTTATTACATTTAATTTATGAGGTCTACGTCTATGGGTGAATGTGACTGCAACGATGTTGCAAAATTAGGAAGGGAAGAAGTAATTATTTAATTATATTGAGCCTTCGCCACTTCACCTGACTGACAATGACTGCTTGCATTGATGATGATGGCGGTATGAATGGATTGTTATACATGGTGATTCTTGCTTTAAAAAAAGCAAAATAAATAATTTTAAGATATCGTCCAATTAGCCTTCTTAGTATGATCTAGGGCGGTCTACGGCATAATATAAGACCCCGGGCAAAGAAGAGTACAGGGGCACCACAGATTTCTACACGAGTAGAATTCTGTGAGGGGCTCCTTCTACTTGACGTGGTATATTATTTGAAACAAACTAACAAACAAACAAACAAACAAAACAAAACAAAACAAAACAAGTCACAAAAGTTGTCCTACATAGCCATACGAAAAGATGACCTGCTTCGAGTGTCAACTTTTCAAAGGAGCCAGAGTGCCGTGATCAACCTCTTTATCTAAAACGTCACACGGGTCGTTGGAAGCACTACCGGCTGTCCTTTTCTTTTCTTTCCTTCTGAGGTTTCTTTATTTCTTTTCTTTTTTCCCTGGCACAAAGAGGCTATTGTATTAAATTTATAGAACAAAGGGGACTGTCATAACCACAATAAAAATCTAACTTTAGTAATGCCGAAAAGGGTTTAATCACCGATTGCTTCCCGCGTTAACATAATGAGAATTTCGAGTACACCCAATCAATGGGGTTCACGGTCCACAGTATGCCAAAGGTCCTGGTCGTTTACTTATGACTGCTCCAGGAAAAGTAGAAAAAGTAGAATAAACCCTTATAGACTGGGTCTTGCAAAACGTTTGATTGATTCATTCTTAAAGGCCTATTGGGTTATCCTTCCTCCTATAAATATAACTGCACCGTCATTCAGGGCTACTAGGCAACAGAGTTCGAGATCAGGAACAAAAGTCAGTTTACTTGTTGATTTAAATAAGCAGTCTCATCAACATTTACCCATGAAGACGAGTGGATGCCGCTCCACCCAATTGACGGTCTACATCTATAATCCGTTATACCGTAAGGGTGCGTGTCCACTGGAACAACCGGAATCCCGCATTGACCATTTACTTGTATCGGACAAAATACGGCTAGAGTTCTTTTTCAGGTGCATGAGTTCCGGAGAACACATGATTGACGCTGGTACCGGTACACGTCCTATTCATTCCACTACTCCCAGTTGTCTGTCTTACTGATCATCTCAGTTTTTCCTCATAGTACTATTTATTGCAAAGTTATACGTGTACAGGCCAGCTGTGTATTCTATCTCTGTCTTTCTGCTCTTATTTCCCTCTATCTTACCACACAGCAGCAATTTTTACTGTCCATTTATTGATCTCATCTATTATAATGTTGCCAGTGAATCTCAAATGTCTCTTTCTGATCGTTTTGATTTGGCTTATATAATAGATCTTTCATAACCTACCATGGTTTGGCCATATTTATTTATTTTTTCTCTTTTTTGTACATGAGATTCTGAGTAAACCTTTATTTTTGGCGGCTTTCAGCCTTCTGTCTATGTGTTCATGTTTAGAGTCCAGTCTACAGAAATTTAATACTCCAGACTTCACAGACTCGAACCTTTTCCGAACAACTATAAAAATAAAATAAAATAAAATAAAGCATATATGACAGTGCACGAACACCAGTAAGAGTTACAGAAAATAAATGCTAGGCTAGGCTAGATAATAATATGTGTGGTTTTCGTAAAAAAAAAAAAAAAGAAGAAGAAGAAGAAGCACAAAAGGGAGGTATTGGGTTATACCGGGTAGCAGGGCTTTAAAAAAAAATTTCGACAGTTGCTCCCTAATCTTCCCACAATCATTCAGATAGACATCTGCACTGACCGCATTACATTATCTGGCCTAAAACTAAAAGCACAACGTCTTCAAATTTTACTTTACTACTTTCTTCTTTTAATAACACATGTGATGAAGAGCCGCCACATTCCACAGTGATTGTATTTTTGTGTGTGTAGGCCTAGGCCCTCGAAGTGTAGGCCGCTTTATCTTTCGTTAGATAATTAGAATAGTTGTACACACAGAATTCTACACTTAGTGTAGAATTCTGTGGTTGTACATTAAATTAGCCTGAATGCACGAAACATAATAATCATCATTGTGTTAGCTGTAGAGATTCGAAATCAAATTGATTTATTGTGAGCGCCTAGAGCCACCAGAGCAGGGATGTATTATAGACTATCTTTATATTTTTAGGGTGTTAAATAATAATAATATCATTAGATATAGAATCTAGATCTCTGGGCATTATAAACTTATTTTGGCCCAAAAATAGCGAGATTTCTTTCCTCCGGTGATGTACGGACATGTGTGTTGTACTACCAAAGATAGTACATAACAAGATGGGCCACTTCTCTCTTTGAGCCAATTAAAAAAGTGTCCTCAAAATTTGGTGGCGCCCTCTTCACAAAAGCGCACTCTTTGCGAACAGAGTTACCCTACTTGAGTTTTAAAAAATCAAAGTGAAACTAGCAAGTTTTGGGATAAATTTCGGAAGAACGCTTTTTAAAAAATGGTTACACTGACAAAAAACCTCTTCCGGAGGAAAAGGAGATGGTTTTCTTCGTTTAATTTGACTTTAGAATGAAGGGCGAGAGGACATTAAAATAAAAAAAACCCTAAAACTCCGCACTGAACGTACCCGAACTGCTGATGAACAGCAGTCGATCTGCGCACGCAAGGAGGTGCTATTCCTATTCTTCTTCTGGAAAAACGAAAGAGAGCTTCAAAACAGACTGCAGCGCCATCTGAAGCAAAGAGCATACTTCCTGCGGACACTTTTTTGGCTGAGTAGCCCATCTTGTCTTGTACTATCTTTGGTACTACTGAGGAATTTGATTGGCGGTTGCTTTGTTTTCTAAAACATGGCGACCCTCGTTTGAGAGTGGTTGGCTATCATTAGTCTGTCAATAGCGAAGCTGAAGGCTAGTTTCCGCTTTTTGTCTCCAATGAGATTCTTATTCCTCTTCCTTAAAAATCATGTACGTATATTTGATTGAACGTCATATACATACAGAGAGAACTTACCGAACTAAGAAATATGGGAGCATGATCATCATGTCGAAGAATGACGAGTCTTCTTTCCTTCATGGCTGAGGAAGTGACTATTCGAAAGGACTTCCGTAACGAGCGACCACCCCATCAAACACAATAAAGAAGAGGCCAAGATCTAGACCTAACCCTACCCCTACCCCTAACCCTAACCCTAACCCTAACCCTACCCTTACCCTTACCCCTACCCGACCCCTACCCCAAGCCCAACTTGGCCCAAGCCCTCAATTCTGCTCTGTCTATAGTGGTCGCTGTCGCTCGTTACGGAAATAATGCGCACTAGCCTTTAAAACAGTTGGGGGTTTGAGGGGGGCCAGGGCCCCCTGGCAAAAATAATAATTTAAAAAAACGCACACAATCTTTACGTTTACACGGCAAATTATCAGTTTCAAAATGGCTGCCAATGGAACGGGAAGGGAACCGTGCACCTAGATCTAGCTGTGACTATGAACACGGTAACCGGCAACCGGGCACGTAGTCTCAGTGTCACGTACACGGTAACCAGGCATGTAGCCTCAATATCTATATTTAGATCTAGCCTACACGGTAACTGGCAATCGGGCAAGTAGTACTGTAGTGAAGCCTGTGTCACGTACACGGTAACAGGGAGCATCATGTAGCCTCAATCTATGTACACAGTAACCGGCAACTCCGGGCAACCGGGCACGTATTCTGTGTCACCTACATGGTAACCAGGCATCCATGTAGCCTCGATATCTACGTACATGGTAACCGGGCGGTTCAGAACTCCAAGTTGAGTTTCTGTCATCCGGTGTTGCCTTCAACTCCACCCCTCCACTGACTACCTTTTAAAAAAACCAATAGTCCCCCCCCTTTCCGGAGCCCTTTGCTTCGCAACGTACAGACTTTGAATGAACTTTGGTGACCCCAACGATCACAGGTCCTCACAATGTGATGCAAAAGACAAACAGGTTCACTGACCGGTCATGATGGCGAGCCCGACAAGATGCTTTTATTATGACTTCCTTTTTTTTTCGCAAGTGACAGCACAGGACAAATAATTTAAATATTTTATTTTCATTCCGGTTACCGTAAACGTATTTTTACAGAGACTACGGTTACCGTGTACGTAGACACTCCGTTTCCAAAGAGCGCCGCCTGTCACCCTGTTGTCCCTGTGTCTCACTATTCTCATCCTCCTGAGGTGTGCTCATAGCACAGACGCACACACAGAACAGCACAAAAAATGAGTTGTGTACAGACCTAGATCTAGAGATAAGTTTCAGGTTTAGTATCTAATGAGCTGGGTCAAGGCCATTTCACACCATGAACAGCAAACAACAGTGAAGAAAAAAATAACAAGCTACACTAGATCTAGTTCTATGGTTATAAAATATATATAGATCTATGCAAGAACGAAAATGTCAATAACAGAACGCATCTGATCTAGATCTACTGATATTTACAATTATAGCCTAAATTTAAGAAGGCTATTTGATAAAAACAAAAAAATTACGCCTTCTAAGGCTATCTATGGCAACGGTAATCAGTAGTTTGCCTAGATCTACATGAGGAAACGTGCCCACGCGGGGGTGGGGGTGAGAACAACGGGTGAGTTTTATTCTCAATATGAGCATTTGCCAAAAGGTGGGATACCAGGGTGTGACAAATGAGGTCCAAAATCAACTTTATGTAATAATTCTTTAATCACCCATATTATATAGCCTAATGATTGCTCTTTCAGGCTCAGTAACTGCCAAAGCTGTATATGCAATGGTCTTGGTGTAATTCTGACTTGAATGACGGAAATAGCAAAAAGTTCGTTCATAACAATGATGACACAAATTTATGAATACTCAAAGTTCCTTTCTTCAGCTAGGCTGATGTTATATTTTGAGACATAGCAAATAACTTCCAAAAATACATAGAATTGACAATTTATAAAAATCTTTATTAATTTTTGATAAAATTACTTTTTTGTGTCATAATAGTTATGAACGAACAATAAGTGACCAAAATACTATCGATTATATCAAGTTTCATCGACTAGAATTGTCTAAAATAACACTCTGGTCTAATTATAGTCAAGTGATAAATGGAAGACCATTGAACAGCTATTTTTAAACGCAAACTGGTCTTAGGGCATATTATGCATAAATTTAAAGTTCGTTCATAACCATTATGACACACTGTTTCGTTCATAACTATTATGACAAATTTTACTTTTGGCCCCTAAAAATTACTTATATTGTTCTGTTTTTCACATAAAACGGTTTTCATTTATGAGGCTTTCCTTAAAATATGATAGATTCCTTTATGTAGGGAGAATTCAAAGTTTATTTCCTGAAAAACCCTTAGAATACCTTTAAAATGGTTCGTTCATAACAATTATGACAAACTTCAATTTTGACCTAAAAATTTACTCATTTTGAGCTGTCATTCATTTTTTAAAACTTTTATTAAATGAAACTCTCCTCATAATATGTATCTCTGTACATGTTTTTAAAGTTTGTTAACACTGAAAAGCCCTCAAAATATATAAAGTGGACTATAAATAGTTCGTTCATAACCATTACTACAAAAGTATAAATACTAATTAAAATCCACACCCATACACTTATGATAAAAATCAAAATATCAGAATGTATGTAAGGTCTATTCTGTCCTTTAGTTGGGTTAAAATTAAAAATACATCCCAAAACAACTGTAAATTACATGGAATAGTGTTTCGTTCATAACCGTTATGACACACTGTTTCGTTCATAACTATTATGACAAATTTTACTTTGGGCCCAAAAAATTAACTTATTGTTCTGTCATTCACATAAAATTGTTTTAATTTATGAGACTCTCCTCAAAATAAGGTTATATGTGGGAAGAATTCAAAGTTTAATCACTGAAAAACCCTTAGAATACCTTTAATTGTTCGTTCATAACTATTATGACAAACTTCAGTTTTGACCTAAAAAATATTATTTTTACCTGTCATTTACTTAAAAATTTTATATTAAATGAAAGTTTCCTCATAATATGTATCTGTGTACATGTTTTTAATGTTTATCAACTCTAGAAAGCCCTCAGAGTACAAAATGTAGTTCGTTCATAACCATTACTACAAAAGTAAAATACTAATTAAAATCCAGACCCATACACTAATGATAAAAATCAAAATATCTGAATGTAAGCAAGGTCTAATACATCCTCAAGTTGGGTTAAAATTAAAAATACATCCCAAAACAACTGTAACTTACATGGAATAAGGTTTCGTTCATAACCATTATGACACACTGTCACGTTCATAACATGATGACAATCCATTATGACAAGCATATTTTTGCCTCTTCTTCACTTCTCTTTTGAGTCATCAGCACGATACTCTTCCATGTTCATTCCACCATGTAAAAGGATGTTGTGAAACAGTGGGAAGTCCCTCACATGATATTTTGCAGAAATATCATAAAGTGTTTGTTCATAACATCATTATGACAAACCTGGATTATCTCAATCAAAGTCATATTTAAGCAAAACCATGCGATGGAGCGGAAAATTACCCTTCTGATGGATCAATGTCAAACCAATGTTTAATACCGGTCATTCCCCGGGATGATATGTTTAACGATTTGGGTTTTCTAGACCTTGGAAAGTCTGATGTTGTAATTATGACACGAGTTATGAACGAACTTATAAATTTTACTCAGCAATAACATCATTAATATAAAAAAATAAAACCCTTTTAATGGACACACGCTGTTATGATGGTGTATACAAACTATTTTCAATGTTTGAATGCATTTCTGTTTGATAGTTTAAGATTAACAATATTCTGTATTTAACATACAATTACGTGTGCACTCAGGATGAGTAAAAAATGCCCTATTTTTAGTACTATTATCTTTCTATGTAGAGATATAAGATGCACACATCAATCTACTTGCTCATGCAGCTTGACCAACTTATTTCCTTGCCATATACATAAAGTTTTCAGAAGAAAACATATTTTACCATGAGTAGTGGTTGATTTAAAAAGTCCTTAAGCAAACACCCCCACCTTTTGGCAAAAGCTCATATAGAGGCATAGAGGTGGCTTTCTGCTGACACTCAGTATGACTATGATTGTTGGATCATTTGTAACCAAATTTGGCCCATGATGACATGATCTTATATTATATTATAGTACAAAAGAGTAAAGTAGAAATGACCAGAGAACAAGGTGATTTGGATTTCTGGCGTGTCATACCTTGCCTGTTAATGTTTGGCAGAAGGATTGATGACTTGATTCATTATAAGTTAAGTGTCGTGACAGAATACGTTCAATCATAAGGCACCTGGATATTTGACAGCACACCCTCCCCGGCAAAAAAGTAACCTCGACTTGGTGTGTCTTTAAAAGTTTCAGTGGAAACCATATATAAATAACAGGCCTGGTAATACCAGGGATCCGGTAATAACGAATTTTTTAAATGCCCATTTTTTTCCTACTCTTTGTCTCTATTAGAAGTTATCGACAATGACAGGCAGGGCCTCATCGGAGCCCATTGGGTTATAGAGCAGGGACAATACTCTTTAACAATAGGTAAAAAGTAAGAGAGAGAGAGAGAGTGATGGAGCAAGCCCACGCAAGCCACGCCACTGCAAGCACACGCAGCGTGTGAAGCGAGAGAGGACTGCGGTGTGCTGCAGACTTCGGTCAAGCCCTAAGCCTAGCTACACGCTCGCGTTATGTGTCATGCGCAGGGTACTTGTGGCAAGGGAAACTACCCATGAATAAATACATCTGGATTACTACTCATATGTGCTTACTTGCCTTGCATTTCTAACAGGAGGACTTTGCTCTGGTCCCACCATCCCTGTTGTATCGGGTTTCCACTGTTTGTGTGTGTATTGAAGTTGTGTTGTTTGCTTGATTAGATATTGTATTAAGCCTTTTTCAAGAGAAAAAGGAGTGATTTTATTATAATATGATTCAAATTGTGTTTTGTAAAGTCGGGATCGTAGCTGAGTAAAGATTCTTGTTTTCAATGAATAAGTTCAAAGTAAGGATCTGAGGGGAACTAGAACAGTAAGTGGTTGGAACTCTTACAAACACGGGTGTGTCAGTAGCATCCAGTTGTGAAGCCCCTAACTTCTCAGTTAATATTGTTATAAAATATAAATCTGAATCTCTTCATCATGGGCTTCTCTCGATTCGTAAAACCATATAGGTTCATCCTTTCTTTTGATTTTCTTTATTTGTAATGTATAGATGTTGGCTAATCATTCATTAATGTTTTGTTCTCTTTTTCAGATGAATTGTATTGTTAGTGTTGAAGTACTAAAAGAGCAAAATGGCGAACACTAATACGGAGGATGGGGGAGAGATGAGTCAAATTCTCTTCACTAATTTACAGTTACTGGGAATGGATGTCATTGATATGGAGGATAAGTACAAGATCCAGTTTAATAAGTAAGTTGTACTTGCGGCATGGCTTACTTTGAAAGTTGGAGAATTAAAAGCTAAAAAATTTCAGCATAACCCTTCAAATATGGCCAGCCGATTACGTCTGGCAATAAATTTCGCTGTGTGGTGTCAGGGCTGATTTAATTGGCCTTAAGTTGAGCCGCTATTCTGGTTTGTTTATCCCTTTAAAAAAATATACTGCTTGTACACGCTGTCTGAGAATTGTCTGTTTTCAACCATTTTCTAACGTATGTTGAAATCATATAACTTCCCCTGACATCACAGGCTATAGCAATACTTGGAGGGTTAAAGCTTTTTTATGTGTATCCATAGGCAATGGTAATTTTTAAAAACAAATTGCCTCATGGTTAATTTGTGAAGTGAATGACTCTTGGAACAGTTCGTTTTCATTAAATGAAGCTGTCAGAAATGCAGCAAGGTGTCTGACTTGGAAGTGGTAATCCTTTAGAAGTGCTGAATTGGTATGTTTTTAAAAAAAAGAGCTGAAATTCTTGACCCACTGTTTCTCTATTCCACACCCCACTCACACACACAGTAACACATAAAAACTCTCTTGCACATATGCACACACCTACACACGTGCGCATGCATGCACAAACACATGTTCATGCATGCACAAAAGGATCATCTTATTTTTCTTTCTTAATATTAACTTGGTTGGTATCTGTACTCCAACGAACTGCAGTCAAGCAAGCTCTAATGGCTACCGGTCCAAAACAATCACTAGTATAAATGACCACATCTCTTTTCTCCCTTCCTTTTTTTGACCCTTAATACCCAGAATTCTTTTTTTTCATACCTCCCTAGAATCCTGAATTAAAATTGAGATACTAGAAAAAATTAGGTTGGTTCATTGTTTTATTTACTGTGTCTTTAATTGTTGTTAGATTTTACTGAAGTTTGAAAATGGTATTTATATGAATGCACAGTCTGGACAAAAGGGGAAAAGGTTAAAACACTGGTTTTTAGGACCAACTCTATGAGTTAAGTCTTGTGTATGATCCCTGACTCCACTTCAGTCAAAGCATCATTAGAATCAGCCGTAGATCTAGCCTCTGATAGCTCTAGTGGTGATCCCTTGCCACTTCCTCTATCGTCAAAATCATCATCGATGTTATGCGGAACATTGCAATCGTCTTCAACGGTCATATTTATCGATTTATCCGACTAGGAAATCATTATTGGGGTCTGATTCAGGATAAAAAATGTCAAAAAATTTGCGGCCTGAAGACCCTGGCAGCGAAAAGTGACTAATTTTTCTTAAAAACTCTCTAACTTTCGGTGTAGAACAGCTCTTATGACATTATTGGTACTTTCTGCTCGCAACAGTCATCTGGAGTTACATCCCCTGTTTCTAGCACTGGGAATTAAACGATAAAGTTGACCAGCGGCACTCACTATGCAAGACATCCTCCTAAGTTCTCCTCTTGCTTTTTAAAATATTTTATAATGACTGTGCAAGACATCTACCCACAACCACTTTCCTTCTCGATGCTGGGTTGCGGTCTTGGACAATTGTGACTTTTCCATGTAATAACAATTACTTTCTTACTCCTTTACACAGGATACTTTGTATTGTAATTGCACTCCAGTACTACCAGAAATGAACAAGTGTTCCTACTGTTGTAAAAGTTTGTATATATGCTCGTAAAGCACAGTATGCGACAAAGAGAATTTATTTAAAACATTGTTCCAGAGTCCCAGTTACGTCTTTGGGTCGTTGTTTGTGGGAACTGTATTTTTACATTTTGATTAGATTTTTCTAATTGTGTGTTTTCAGAGACATGTTCAACCTCCCTAACAAAGCTGGATCAGAGGCTGTTCTTTACTTTTTATTCAATCGCCTCAATCCGTCATTATGCAAAGAACAGTTCAGGTAAATTTCTTTTTTTTCTTAAACTTATGTATGACATTTCTTGCTGTATGAAAATCAATGTATATGCTGGTTATTGTTTCTAAATCTACCATAATGAATTAATCTAGATGTGTTTATTAAACTGTTGACTGCTAGTGCTAGTCCTGCTCCACAATACTACCTAAGAGTGAAAGACTGTCGGGTGGAAGGTATTTGAAGGAGGAGGTACATAGAGACTGTAAATTTGTGTAAAAAGATCTAAGTTTCAGTGTTATTTCTGACTTCTAATGAGTACAGCTCTATTGAATGCATTGAACGATTTGGTCTTGTTATTTTGTACTCTCAGGGACTGCTGGCCTGTGTTTGACCGGAAAACTGAGTTTCAGTTTCGTAAAGTCTGTAACAGTTGGCTTGTATGCATTCAGAAGGTAACAGCTTTTACTATTTCTTCGTTTTTACTATCGATTTAGAGTGAAGAATGAACGAAAACAATATTTATCAGTGCTTCCACTCTTCCATATTTTTACGGAAATCCGTTCTTTCTGCCAGTTCCGTACTTGTTCCTCCATCATTATCAACACCCTCCGTAAAAATCTGCGACAGCGTAGGACGACTGAATTTCCGTAGCAAAAGATCCGTACTCACCTTCGTATCGTCTTGTATAGTATAAGTTACGGATATTTATGGTAATTGTCTCTGCAATAGTTTGTTACGGCATAGAAACCTGCCAGATTGCGCATTTCCTGCCTTCGACCATTAATCCGCTTTGCCCCATGCATTCATTGCGGGTTGGTGGGCAGTACATTTTTTACCTGCAGATTGATCAAAATCTGGCGAACTTTTTGCGCCACTTTCCTCCTTTCTATCCTTCCCTCATTCCGTCTGTCTATCTTGGGATTGTTGCCGCAGCTGGAAAATCTGCGCGTTGATCAAGTATATTGACTTGCGATCGTAGAAAATTACAGTCAGAAAGAAACTTTTTTGCAAATTTATTGTCTAGATTTAGAGAAATTATCAGTGCGAAGATTCTAAGGCACCGGAACGCGATAAGGGCAGCGATGAAAGAAATTTGTGCTAAAACTACTAAAATCAAGAATGTTTCGAAGTGGTGTTCCGAGGTTGTGACATGCGACATTCAGACGTGAAAATTGAGGAAAATTACGGTATACGCTAGGTAACTGTATTGTGAAGGTACATTTCTCATTATTCCCAGGTTTGCCTTCTGTCAATGGTGCGATAACAAATTAATTGAATTATAGTAGTAATGGAAGGGGAACCTGCTTTTAAACATTGCCAGCAATGGAAAGATATGTGTGAAGAATTCAAACAAGACAAAATCTTGGTGAAAAAATAGGTAGTATGGGTTGTTGGCAATCTCTTCCAACAGGCTCCCAAATGCCATTTTCAACCCTCTAAAAGTACTAAATTTCAATTTCTTCGGGGGCTTCGCCCCCTGAACCCCCACCGGGAGCTGTCCCTGGAGCCTGCTGGCGGCCCCCAGACCTCCGCCAGAATTTTCCTTACTTTTTAGCTTCAGCTGGTGGAAGCACTGATTTATAAGAAATGAGTATGTGGGAAAAGAGCTTTTCCCTATTTAATTTCAGCTTATGGATAGTGAATGACTGATTAGTTTTATAAATATGGTTGTGGCAGTCATGGACTGAGAAATGCTGGTAATCCACCCCTATTGCCTCCTCATTAGGGCAGTTCAGGTCACAATCATCTGACTCCGCTGCAACCACAATGAACTAACAGCACATGCACTCCAAATTTAAAGTCGGAGACACCCGTATGTTAATGTGGTCTGAGCCACCATATCTACTGCTCTGAACTCCCTTCACAACCCTAAGTGCACAGGCATGGCAATATGCTACACCACTGGAGAGAAAACTGTATGGCAGCTTTGGGGATCTTAAGAGGACTACTGCACAATTTGTGTGCACCACTGGATTGCTGTCTGACTGTCATCAAGAACGAAGAAGAAGATGAAGAAAATGAAGAAAAAGAAGAAGAAAATTGGTGTCCCATTTATGTATTGTCATGGAAGGATTGAGAAGAGTGGAAAGATTGTATGGACTTGAACAGTTACGTCCTTCATTACATTTGTCCTCGCGATTTAGTACATACACCGTGAAGCAAAAAGATCGAATCACATTATATAGCTACGGCTTTGAAAATGACCATAAATTTCTTTTTAGTTTTCAAGTCTTGAAAAATTAAAAAAACAGTGATTAACTTTTCGCTTAAGTTTGTTGCCTAAAATGTGTTGCACAGTGTGTGAAGATGATATGTGAAATAGAGCTATTTTAATAATACATATTCTCATGTAAAATTTTCCATCCTCAGGATGAGCCAAATGCTCGCCTGCCAAGTATCAATGCTGCTTTGTTATTGTCTCCCGGGGGACGCAAGTTCATAAAGTTACTGCATAGTTTCTCGACATACGTTCTTGTGCAGGTCATGAAAAATGAACATGGTGAGTGTAGAATGTTGTAGTTGGTGTTTTAAATTGAAGTATGTTCTCTTCTGAGAATGAATTTCTTTTCGTTGTGCTCTGTGTACATTCATGCCATTGTGGTTCAGACTGAATTTCAGAGGTGATAATTTTCAGTCCATGAAAATAGTTTAGTGTTCAATTTTATTTGTCTGAAGGTCTATCCTTCAACCTTTTTTTCAATTAAATTGATGGATAGCAAGATCACTCACAAAGGGCTAGTTTGAAAATCTGATATGAAATCATGATCCATAGATATACAGAGAATGGGTTTGGGCTGCAGTGAGGTATTCTGCATCTTTTATGTTTATATGTGTTCTTTACTTTAGGCTCAAAAGGAATTTATTGGAGGCTGCTTTCTGACAGGTCATACCAGTGAACTGATGTTCCAGGGTCCCATCCAAAATGACCCACAACTGTCCAACACTACAGCCAAGACTTTACACAATGCCAGTGCTCTGGATAGAGAAAATCTATTTGATCATTTGCACTGTGTGATTGCTGCCAACAGGAAGTGGAGGGAGTATTGCCAGTGGGTTTTTATATCTTATGTGTATTCAGATAGTTATATCATGTAAACTTTTTTTTGTTTTTGTAAAGTGTTTTACAGCGCTCGCAAAAAACTGCATAAAGTCATATGAGCGCGCGGGACACACCTAATATTTTCAGTTGGTAGGAAATTTTGAATTTTGCCTGCGTTGCGGCCGAAGCCTACTCTTATCAATTTTAGTCCACCAAGGGATCTTTAACATGCGCTACTTGCACACGGGCCCTCTGAGATTTTTCGCCCTTGTCCGAGAAGGCTAGGTGTAGATCTTTCCTACCAGAAGATCAGGGGTGTGGCAGAAACACAGCAGTAAGGAGGAGCCAAGGAGTAGCAGTGGAAAGGCTGCAGAAAGAGTCAGGAGCCCAGAGGAGGGGGCAAAGGAGGTGAGGGGGTGGGGGCAGAAAGTGGAAATGAAAGCAGACAGCAGAACATTGCTAGAGAGCAGGAAAGAAGGTGAAAGGAGACAATTTTAGAGAAGAAAATTTTTCGGTCGCTACACGGATTCGAACCCGAGACCTTTTGAATGAGAGGCCAACACCTTAACCTCTAGGCCACGAGAGCCCCCCCATGTAAGCTTTAAGACTCGGATCAGGTTGTTTGGAGTAGTTACAAAGTAGCGCACCTTTTTTCAAATAATGGAATGAGAATTAGCTTTTTCCTTTGTCTGATGACTTTTGTCTCCTATTCACGAATGGACATTGGGTGGGAATATACTTTTAAACATTTTTTAACTTGATCTGCTCTTTTTATTTTGATTTTCTGTTTATGATATAATTTAGACTGAATGTTGACCTAAGACTTTTTTTTTCCAGTTTATTTTTAATCTCATGGTTGTAACAAACTTAAGTGTTTCATAGGTTTATTGAATGGTTTTTCATTCGGTATTTTTTAAAATTTGAAAAGCACCCTACTTCTGTACTTAATTCACAGAGAACTGACTAAAGAATACAGGGGCTTGGTGAAAAAAGGAAGAGAGAGTCAGACTGAGAAGTTGCAGTGTGTGAACACCCTGGCTGAGACAGCTATGAAAGCTGGATGGTATGTGTTGTAATTTTGTATGTTGCACTTCCTACTTATCCCATATTAATCTACCTTTGAGGCACCACAGATGATTTGGAAACCAGATTTGTATATTATATGTTCCCAGTATGAGTCTTTCTTTTAAGATTTAAAGCCAGAGCTTTTGCCCCTCTGGGTGAGTCTTGTTGTGCGATCAAAATATGGTTTTATTTTTTACAGTGATGAAATTGCTATAATTGTCTGTCTTCGAAACAACAGTGGTGTGACTAAATATTGTATTCATTTTCTGTGTTTCCAGTTCTCTTCCTGCTCGACGCTCTTTGTCAATGTTTGATGGCGATACAGATGTCTATGCTGCGAAAAGGCGGCAAAAAATGCAGAAGGTAAATTTATTATTTTAGAATCTATGTTACATTTTTTTATATTTTCAAGTGTATGGGTCTTTAGTTTAGCCATATTCAATGTTTAAAGTTTACTCCATATTAGCAAGCAGTGTGTGATTACAAAGTCATTTTAAAATCCATATGTATGATTTCTTCTTTTTATCATTGCCAAGTGCAGAGTCCCCTGTACTTTAAAGTTGTTCCTTTGACCTGACGGGGGGGTCGATGAGGGCTGAGTATTGAGTATTCTGATCTTTTGGAACAAGTTTAAAAAAGCCCAATGAGCCTTGTGTAGGTAGTACATGATATAGATGCTTTGACAAGGGGGCTCTTGTGGTAATTGAAAATGTGTACAAAGTTTTGGGTTATGCTTTTGATATAAAAAGATCCCTTCCTTCCTACTGGTATCACCCCCCCACCCCCCACCCCACCACATGCACACACAT